TGTGAGAGAGAGAGAACGTGTGTGTTGCTTTCACCTGTCTGAATGTCCAGTCCGAAATAGAAAAGCGCCCCGTCTCCCAGCGCACACAGCAGGTAATGACTGCCCTCAAACGTGGTCATGAGGATGGAGCGAGGGATGATCTCTACAGCACACACGATTAGCGGTCAGTGAGACACATGTGACAGGAAATTACATGTTCTTCAGCTCAGCAAACACATTCATGCTTCAGAAGCTCTTCAGATTCATTCATCAATTGTTACTATCAACACCCAAACAACATGCTGTGAATTTATAATCTTATATAGGAAACGGAGTACCAACATTATTCATATATGTTTATATTATGCACATTTTAAGACCTACTTTATCACTTAACTCTATCCAGCATTAACTCTTGAGCACAGCAGAAATACATTTATACTGCACATTTCATGAACATGTGACGCTCAGTCTTCTCCAGACACTTCCATTCATTAATCTCAGACAGCATAGAGAAATATCTTTCAATGAAAAGTGACAGTTAATTCAATTATTAATAAAAGCACAATCTAAATAAGTGCTCTTTTATCTTTATAATATGCATCTCAAAGGCTGTGGAGAGTAAATGTACAGGAATAAGCACTGCTCTGATCCGCCTCACTGGGACCACAGGATATAAAGCGTGCATTTCTCAACCTTCAGATATACATCCTGATGTGTTATTAAACACCTGATTTGATCATTTCAGTGTTTTCAGTGAGTGAACACTAGCCAGCTCACGATAACTCGGTTTGTCTTGATTTGTCTGTCTGTATGAACGTGACCTAGACAGACGTCTTTGAGCACAGAGACACGCTGAAAGAGGATCAGCTCCAGACCTGAATACGTCCTCCATGCAGCTGTTTCAGAATGCAGGAACATGACGCCACACATTACCATTATCACACAGAGTTTTTCTGTGTAATGTCTCAAAGACTTTAGCTTGAGTTTGGGAAAAGTGCTTTATAAAAGCTTCTTCTGCAAAAATGAATAAATATAAATAAAGTGCAAAGGAAAGTGAAAGCGTGTTCTTCAAGCTTCGGTCTCTGGAGAATGTGTTCACACGTCATGATCTGTGTGTGAGTGTGTGTCTAGTGTCATGAACACGAGCGTCTGTGTGTGTGTGTGTGTGTGTGTGTGTGTGTCTCACCTCCGCCCAGCATTTCTTTGTGCAGCGGGCTGAAGCAGGGTAACTTCAGCAGGCGAGCTGAGATGTCGGTCCAGAGTCCCACAGCACAGATGCTGGATTCTCCCACGCTCTCACCCAGAGGAGTGATGTCCAGACACGCCACCTCATGCTCCATCTCTGTAGAGCTGCACACATCAAACACCACCGTCATCAGTCATATCACGGCACACACACACACACACACTCACACTCACACACACTACAGCACACACACACACACACACACACACTACAGCGCACACACACACACACACACTACAGCACACACACCACAGCACACACACACACCCACACAC